CAGGTCTGACTGAGAGTAGGTCCAGTAGATAGACCGCTGGACTCATCTTGTGGTTATTTCCCCAGTGCCATAATGCATAATTGGCATGAACATACTTAGCAGCTGGCAGAACCTCCCCCACCACTCCGATTGGCTCCCTGCCTGGTAGGGTGAAGGCTATTATGGTGGAAAAGGCCAAATAGAAGCCATTAGAGCTGCCTCTACCTAGTAAAATAGTAAATCAAAAACATTATTGCATTCCTGGAGGGATTGTGGAGATTAGTGCTATGATCAAGGGCTTGAAAGACGCAGGGGCAGTGATTCCCACCACATCCCCTTTCAACGCTCCCATTTGGCCTGTGCAGAAGACAGCTGGATCTTGGAGAATGAGAGTGGATTGTCATAAGCTTAACCAGGTGGTAACTCCAATTGCAGCTACTTTATCAGATGTGGTTTCATTGCTTGAGCAAATTAACACATTTCCTGTTACCTGGTATGCAGCCATTGACTTGGCAAATGCGTTTTTCTCCATTCCTGTCCATAAGGCCCACCAGAAGCAATTTGCCTTCAGCTGGCAACCCAGCAACATACCTTTACTATCCTACCTCAGGGGTATATCTACTCTCTGCTTTGTGTCATAACCTTATTTGGAAAGACTCTGATTACTTTTCACTTCTGCAAGATATCACACTGGTCCATTACATTGATGACATTATGCTGACTGGATCCAGTAAGCAAGTAGCAGAAAACACACTGGACTTACTGGTGAGATATTTGTGTGCCAGAGGACGGGAAATAAATCCAACTAAAATTCAGGGACCTACTATCTCAGTAAAATTTCTAAGGGTCCAGTGGTGTGGACCCTGTCAAGATACTACTTGAACTGCCTATCAAGAACTGGGTGCTTTCTAACCCATCTTGCCATAATGTGGGTTGTGCACAGCAGCATTCCATCATCAAATGGCAGTGGTATATACGTGATCGGGTTTGAGCAGGTCCTGAAGGTACATGTAAATTACATGAAGAAGTAGCTCAAATGCCCATGGTCTCCTCTCCTGCCACCCTGACTTCTCTCTCCCAGCTGGCACTGATGGCCTTATGGGGAGTTCCCAATGATCAGTTGACAGAGGACGAGAAGACTAGGGCATGGTTCACAAAGGGTCTGCACGATATGCAGGCATCACCTGAAAGTGGACAGTTGCAGCATGACAACCCCTTTCTAGAACATCCCTGAAGGACAGTAGTGAAGGGAAATCTTTACAGATGACAGAACCTTGAGCAGTACACCTGGTTGTGCACTTTGCATGGAAGGAAAAATGGCCAGATGTGTGATTATATACTGACTCATGGGCTGTAGCCAATGGTTTGGCTGGATGGCCAGGGACTTGGAAGAAACATGGTTGGAAAATTGGTGACAAATAAATTTGGAGAAGAGGTATGTAGATGGACCTCTCGAGTGGTCAAAAACCATGAAGATATTTCTATCTCATGTGAGTGCTCACCAAGGGATGACCTCAGCAGAGGAGGAGTTTAATAATCAAGTGGGTAGGATGACCTGTTTTGTGGACACCAATCAGTCACCTTCCCCAGCCAACCCTGTCATCACCCAATGGGCCCATGAACAAAGTGGCCATGGTGGTAGGGATGGAGGTTATGTATGGTTCTGAGCAACATGAACTTCCACTCATCAAGACTGACCTGGCTACAGCCACTGCTGAGTGCCCAATCCACCAGCAGCAGACACTAACACTGAGCCCTCGATACAGCACCATTACTGGACGTGATCAGCCAGCTACTTGGTGGCAGGTTGATTATAGTGAACCTCTTCCATCATGGAAAGGGCAGAGGTTTGCCCTCACTGGAACAGACACTTACTCCAGATATGGGTTTGCTTATCCTGCATGCAATAATTCTGCCAAGACTGCCATCCATGGACTCATGGAATGCCTCATCCAATGTCATGGTGTTCCGCACAGCATTGCCTCTGACCAAGGCACTCACTTTATGACTAAAGAAGTGCAGCACTGGGCTCATGCTCATGGAATTCACTGGTCTATGTTCCCTATCATCATGAAGCAGCTGGACTGACAGAATGATGGAATGCCTTTTGAAGTCACAATTATGTTAACTAGGTGACAATATTTTACAGGGCTGGGGCAAAGTTCTCCAGAAGGCTGTATATGCTCTGAATCAGTGCCCAAAATATGGTACTGCTTCTCCCATAGCCAGAATTCATGGGTCCAGGAATCAAGAGTAGAAGTGGAAGTGGCACCACTTACCATCACCCCTAGTGATCCACTAGCAAAATTTCTGCTTCCTGTTCCTGTGACATTACATTCTGCTGGCCTAGAGGTCTTAGTTCCAGAGGGAGGAATGCTGCCACCAGGAGACACAACAATGATTCCATTAAACTGGAAGTTAAGATTGGCACCTGGACACTCTGGGCTCCTCCTACCTTTAAGTCAACAGGCTAAGAAGGGAGTTACAGTTTTGGCTGGGGTGACTGACCCAGACTATCAAGATGAAATCAGTCTTTTACTCCACAACAGAGGTAAGGAAGAATATGCATGGAATAGAGGAGATCCATTAGGGTGTCTCTTAGTATTACCATGCCCTGTGATTAAGGTCAATTGGGAACTACAACAGCCCAATCCAGGCAGGACTACAAATGACCCAAAGCCCTCAGGAATGAAGGGTTTGGGTCACTCCAGCAGGCAAATACCCACAATCTGCTGAGGTACTTGCTGAAGGCAAAGGGAACACAGAATGGATAGTAGAGAAATCATCAATACCAGCTACAACCATGTGACCAGCTGTGGAAATGGAAATTGTAATTGTCATGAGTATTTCCTCTGTCTTTTGCTAAAAACACGTTTATGCATGTATATATTTGTACTAAGCAAGTATCTTTATTTTCTTTTCCGTTATGTAACATAAGATTTATTGACTTCATATCAGCATGTAAGTACTGTTAACTTTATGTAATAGTATTTGGGTGGGGAACTGGTGTGTTTCTGGTTGTATGAAAAATAGCTGTATTTTGTCAGGCATAATTACGACCTTATTTTATTGTCTTTATTTGAAGATTACATATGATCTCAGGAGACATGTATGGGTTCAAGTTGACGAGGGGTGGACCTGTGATGGTGAATACTTAGTGTCAACTTCACCGGATTGAAGGATACAAAGTATTGATCCTGGGTGTCTCTGTGAGGGTGTTGCCAAAAGAAATTAAACATTTGAGTCAGTGGGCTGGGGAAGGCATATCCACCCTTCATCTGGTGAGCACAATCTAATCAGCTGCCAGCGAATATAAAGCAGACAGAAAAACATGAAAAGGAGAGACTGGCCTAGCCTCCCAGCCTACATCTTTCTCTCGTGCTGGATGATTCCTGCCCTCTAACATCAGACTCCAAGTTCTTCAGTTTTGAGACTCAAACTGGTTCTCCTTGCTCCTTGAGCTTGCAGACAGCCTACTGTGCGACCTTGTGATAGCATAAGTTAATACTTAATAAACTCCCCTTTATATATATATATATATATATATATATATATATATATATATATCTCCTATTAGTTCTTTCCCTCTAGACAACCCTAATACACCAACTTAAAGTCAGATTCCTTGAAATACAAAATGATTATCTACATAAACATTCCTAGAAGTTGTTAATAATAAGAGTCTACTTTTGTGAGGGAAATAAATGGCGGGTCTACTTGCTCTAATTTATGCCTATCCTTGAAAGTTAATGAAATTCTAATACTGAAGAAGATCCCATGGCACAAATTAACTTTGGATTTCCCCCTTAAGAATATAGTAAAAGGCCAGATGTGGTCGCTCACGCCTGTAATCCTAGCACTTTGAGAAGTGAGGTGGGTGGATTGCTTGAGCCCAGGAGTTCCAGACCACCCTGGCCAACTGGTGAAACCTTGTCTCTACAAAAAAATACAAAAAATTAGCCAGGCGTGGTGGCGCATGCCTGTAGTGCCAACTACTCAAGAGGCTGAGGTGTGATGATTGCTTGAGCCTGGGAGGTTGAGGCTACAGTGAGTTATGATTGCACCACTGTACTCCAGCCTAGGCAACAGAGCAAGACTCTATCTCAAAACAACAACAACAACAACAACAAAATACAGTGACAATGGAGGAAATGTTTTCATCTTTATAGGTAAGACTATTAACATTTTTTCTCAATATGTTTCCTGACAACTGAAATGTTATGATCACATCTAGAAATAGAAAAATATTATGGAATCATGATATGGAGCCTAAAAATATACATATATACACACACACACACACACAGATATATATATAAAATATACAAAAAATACTGTCAGATAAAGACAAGCTAAAATACTTTTTAAGTATAAGAAAACATGCCTTTTCTTTGTCTAGAAGTCTGAAATACTCCAAGTTTCATAATCATACTAGAGGTCTAAGAATGTCAATACTTGGTATGCACACATTTATACAAAAATGGCTCTTCTGCTGTTAACAGTTGAGTTACACGAAACACAGAAACACTACATAAGACTCAGCTATGGCAAGAGATGGAGTATCTTGTTTAAAAAGGATCACTTTTTAATTAAACCTCCTGCTTAGAAAGGCCATATTAAGTAGAATTTATAGATCAATGTCACAATTGCAAACACATCGTAAGATGACTATTCTCCAGTGACCCAGCCCTTCTAATGTAATTAAAATGTCCCTAAAATTCTCCTCCAAAGGACAAGGAGGACTATTTGGAAATGAAGCATGCTTACAAAAGTCCTCTGTTACATTCAAAGGACATAAAACTAGCTTAGCTTTGCCCTCAACAACCAGCAGGTAGAAACAGCACTTGAATTTAGGTCAAGGTTAGTGGAACGGATTTCTGAAACTCACCTAAATTTGGGAAAAAGAAAACACAATGCATGGGCTACGTCACCACCAATGGAGCACTAATACCCCTTAGAGAGCCTTCCCTGTCACTGGACTTCACCATGTTCAGTCAAGGCAGAAAGGATCCCAGTATTACCTTCAACTGCTCTAGGGCAAAAGATGAACCATCTTGCTGTAAGTTTTCAATAATCTGTTCCACAGTATTGGCTGAAAAACAACTATAAAAAAGGAAATGTGATTTCACCAGTGTGCAAGTGATTTCCTGTTTCTAACATACTGATGAATCTGAACGTAGGCTTTCCCGCACCTCTATTTCAATAATTAAGAATTGTCCAATCTCTTTAACAGGATGTAAAAAGAAACAGAGCACTGCTTCCCTGGATAAGCATTTGTAGCCTACCTTCACTAATACAAAATAAAACCTAAATTTTATTTTTTCTTTTGCATTTTTGCATCTATTATGTTTCTATGTAAAGAAATAATTCAACTACAAAAAGTAGATGCTTCTAAATAGTAGAGATGGTTGTCTTATTTTGTAATACTTTTCTTCCTGTTTCCCAAAGCCAGTCTGTCAATCTCTCAAATCATTGCTGATCAGCTTGATAAGACCTTCCGAGAAGATAAATTTAAAAAGATAAAAGTTAATTCAATTATTTTCTAGCTTCTCTTCCCCACTTAAGAAAACAGTTATTTTGCACTAACATGAATTTGAATCACTGCACAAAATGTTTTTGCTGGTAAGCTTGGTAAGATCTTCAGAGAAGATGAATTTACAAAGATAAAAGTTAATTCAATTATTATTTTCTAGCTGCTCTTCCCCATTTAAAAAAAAAGATATTCTGTACTAAGATGAATTCTCATGGTAGATTACTAAATACAATGAATTTATTTCACCCAGTAAGCAGCTACTTTCAAAGGTAAGTGAAAAAACACCCCATGCTGGCAGGACGTGGTAACTCACGCTCATAATCCCAACACTTTGGGAGGCCAAAGTGGGTGGATCACCTGAGGTCAGGAGTTGGAGACCAGCCTGGCCAACATGGCCAAACTCTGTCCCTACTAAAAATACAAATGTTAGCCAGGTATGGGGGCAGGCACCTGTAGTCCCAGCTACTCAGGAGGCTGAGGCGGGAGAACTGCTTGAACCTGGGGTAGGGAGTGGGGAGCCTCAAAGGTTGCAGTGAACCAAGATCTCGCCACTGCATTCCAGCCTGGGGGACAGAGCAAGGCTGTCTCAAAAAAAAAAAGAAAGCTCTATGCTATCTCAGAATTCAGTGCACTATCAAACACAAGGTAATTCTAATGGTAATTATAATGTTAGCAAGTTCATTTTAATATAGTCTTTACAAAGGAATATATAACTGAGATCTATTTTTAAGTACCTGTTAATTTTGTCCATGTGTTCCTCAAGTGTAAAAGACTTGTCTCGATCAATCTTACACTGTTTGAAAAGAAAAATCTTTTAATAAATTTGAACACAATATTTTAATATTTAAAAATTCATATTTAATGATATACTTTGTGAAAGATTGTCACTTACTCCTTTCAGTCAAATTACATCTAACAGTCTCATAAATAACTACCACTGTATGATCAAAATTCAGACAGCATACAGAACTCTAGCTCTTAAAAGTTATCAATGGCAAAAATGTTCTGATATTTTTATTTACATGTATAAGTATTTGTAATCACTAATACATTTGACACATTATCATTGTATCTGAAGTTAAGGATTGTAAGGGACCTAAAAGGTCAACCTGCCCAAATTTTCATACTAGCGAGAAATTCCCACCACATCCTTGGTATCTCTGCAGCTCTGACCTTCGGAGAGAGAAAACAGCACCTCAGGGAAGCGCTCACAAATGCTGGAACTGAATAATTAGGTTTCTGTTGTTTTAATTCTGGAACAAAAACCAATTCTAGCATGTTTATAGTTGTGGTTAATTTCTTTCACCTTAACCATTTCCCATATGACACAGTTTTGTGTCCCCTCATGATCCAGGTCCTTCTTATGGACAAGTTCCAATTTTTCAAAGTCATTCTTCAACTATGGGGCACATATCTTAGCTGCTGGTGTGGCTGGCTCATAGCAAAGTACAAGAGGGCTCTGTATGACCTTGATTGCTTTGGATATACTTTTCTTAACTGGACTAACTCTGAGTTAGTGTTAAGAGAGGCCTATGATTACAGCTGATTCACATTAAGTTCCAATTAAATAAGACTTTTCTGTTTTTTAAACCTGTGCCATTGTAGGCTGTGTTTCTCCTATTCTGCACTTTTGAATTCAGTACTTTGGGTTAAAACACAAGATTTGCACTTATCTTTATTAAATTTCACATTGTTACTATTGACCAGGTCACTCTAAACTCTAAGAGTTTTTCATCCATATTCTTTTTGCTTATTTTTCTTAGTTCTACATCAACTTGATCAAAATGCTATCAGTGGTCTCCAAATCACTTGAGAAAAGTACTAAGTCTTAGATGACTTCCCTACATAGTAACACCTATACATTTAGTAGAACTCTTTGATAAGGCCTTTAAACCCCCACAAACCATAATTCATCCCCTATTTACTCAATTCAACAACAGGAGACTATCAAATGCTCTGATAAAAACAAGTGAAATCCTCATGTGCTCTGTATTCATATTCTGTGCACCAAGTACTCGATGGCCTTGCCAATATGTACTCGTGTTCTCCAGTTCTGGGTAATGTTTTCAGTACTATTTCTCTAAACATTTCCTTCCCTCTATCTTCTCTATTATGAATTCCTAATAATTAGATTTTAGACCTGCTGCAATAACACCTCTGATTTTCCATTCTCTCCTTTTTCTTTTTCATTATCCTTTTCTGTTAGTTTTCCTCAACCATAGATTTTAATCTGTTGTGGGTTTTTTACTCCCCATTTTATCATTTTTAAAATTTTACAGGCATAACCACTGCCAAGATCAGCCAGTAGCCATCAACATCTAGGCAAGACCCTTCACTAGTAAAACGATTATGACTAACTGAAATTCAGATGATCATAAATATTTTTAGCTGATTTAATTAATTATAAATAAGATATGTACTTGTGTTTAGACATGATGTTCTTGCACACTTAATAGACTGCAGTGTAGTGTAAAAACTTTTATGAGCACTGGAAAACAAAAACATCCATGTGACTAGCTTTATTGCCACGGTTTGGAACCAAACTCAGATTATCTCTGAGCCCTGCCTATATTATTCTTTGAATTACCTTTATAGTATACATTGTTGTTTCATAGGTAAAATATTTTCCTCTTATCTCAAGATGATAGTTACAGATTGGTGTTTGTTTTTTCAAGTTTCCTTCTTCTTGCATTGTCTGCTTCCTTCCAGTGCCTTTGTTGTTTGTTTTGGCCTCAGAATATTTTTCTATGCAAAGCACTAAAATTAGGAAGCTTTGTGTCTAATGTCAATTGTAGTTATGGGATTCTCAACTGTATGATACATTATAAGATGATCAGTCAGATGTGTTATTAAGACATGTCAATGTCTACGGTTTTTTTTCTTCCAATGTATTGCTTAGCAGTGGGGTGGGATGCAGCCGTTCTGCAAGTCAACTAAGGAAAAGGGACAGAGGTCTTCCAATTTACTTATATCTCATCTCTTTTCAGTACAGTACTTTGCTTATCTCTACCCTCAGCTAGACCTGCCTGATTTGGTTTCTCTAAGGAGTCAGTCTATAGGTTACAGTCAGTCTGCCAGGTTACTGGAAGACAGCTACTCTTAGTTGTACAAGAAGATTTGTAGAGGGGCTGGGCATAGTGCTCATGCCTGCAATCCCAGCACTATGGAAAGCCAAGGAGGGCAGATCATTTGAGGTCAGAAGTTAGATACCAGCCTGGCCAACACAGTAAAACCCTGTCTCTACTAAAACACAAAAATTAGCTGGGCATGATGGTGCATCCCTGTAGGCCCAGCTACTCGGGAGGTTGAGGCACCATCACTTGAACCTGGGAGGTGGAGGTTGCAGGGAGCCGAGATCGTGCCACAGCACTCCAGCCTGGATGACAGAGCGAGACTCTGTCTCAAAAAAAAAGTATAACTCCTTTTTAAAACTTATAAGAAATCTTCCTTTTCTTCTGCCCCATTCTATATTCTAGTCTTCAGAGGGACCTGGTCCCATTATAAGGGTCTAAAGCAAGAATCAGCTGACTTCTTATTGGCTTTCAGAGTTCTTTGGTTTAAGTTAGCAGCACTCATCCTTCTGATTTCAAGCTTCCAAAATTCTAACATCTCATGTCTGCCACTGTCTCCTCTTCTGTTTTACCTGTCTTTGTGAGTTTATGACTTTTTTATTTATTATAATTTTGAATGGTTTTAGGAGGCCGCATGTATGCAATCATGTTTATCTAGAAACTATGTAGTGTTTTTAAAGATTCTCAGCTCTTACTTGAAAATTTAAGTCAGACAACATAAGGAATCAAAAATAAATGCTGCAATATACTTTAGTGTTAACACTGAACACTTTTACAGAAATGCCAAAACCCCGGCAAAGAATGATAAGAAGGCTATGCACCGAAGTTAACCAGCAGTGGCAACACAGCTATGCAACTGCACAGGAAAGAAGTCATCTTGTTAGCTGGCTGTGACAACTGTGAAGCACTGATTCTTCTACCATGCTTTAAGTAAATAAATCCTTAGTACATTTATTGATATTTACAAGCTATAATATTCACCAACTGCTAATTTTTTAATTACTTCTCCTCCCCATGAATTAAAACCTGATGTTAAGAGTATTAACAAGATTACCTCTGTATGGTAATTTTCTAAGACAGCTGCAACATTTTCTTTTGAAGGAGATTTCAAGGCTAACAAATCTTCCTCTAACATGCCCAACTAAAGGGGAGAAAAAAAAAGGCAAGATCTGAGTGAGATCCAATAGAAACATAGAAAGCTTTATAAAAATCTCTTCTTTTTTGGAATCCTTATCTTTAAATTATCATGCTCTTTCTTCAGCTGATTCACTGAAAGAAATTTTGACTGAAGTTGAATAAACAGATATTCCCACCTAGCAAATATAGCCTTCAAAGGAAGGGATAAAGATGGAAGAAATTAAGGAGGAGATACAGAAACATTTATCTTTGTTTCTCTTAGTCTATTCAGCACTTGCAACCAAAGACCTACATTATACATTTTATTTTTAATTAATTTTAACAAAAATTGCCACAAATGATTAGTGGCTACCATAGTCAATGCACAACACTGTAATATAGCTTCACTTATTTCTCCATCTAATCCCTCACTTAATCTATCCTACCTTGAGCCAAATAAGACTTTTTACTGTTCCCAAAATATAGCTAATGGTTTCTTGCCCCTGTGGTTTCATTAAATGTTTCCTTTACCTGACAATACCTTTTCCTGATATACTCACCTTGAGGCCAGCTGTACTGCAACCTTTACAAAAAAAAGCTTCTAGTCCTTTCTTACGGGTAAGCTCTTCCTCCTTTGAATTCTTTGAGTATTTTCTTTGTATTATTTTTACACTTACCACACTTTACACCTCTGCCAGATGAGAAAAATGGCTACTTATCTTTTGTACCCACTTCTAATCCCAACGTACAGTTCTCCTTTTTGTATCCTCTACAGGCCCTGAGAATGCGTCTACTCACTGCAGATATTAGTATTGAACACAAAGAAAGAAACGGATTATGCATCAGGTCTCTCTCTCATACTAAACTAAATTCCACTGTAATCAAGGGTGTCCCTTCCAGACAGGATAATCGCATGCCCATGTTTGCTTCCTGTTATAGCTCAAGGGAAGCATAAGACAGCTGCCTGCTCAATGTGACTGAGGATGCCCACAGCACAGAGAAAGATCTGAATCTTCAGCCAAACATGACAGAAAACTCTCATAACAGTGTACAGAGACAATCTTCAATTTTGTATACTTCATACATTTTACATAATCTGTGTGAGAAATGAGACCAAAGTTCATCAACATAAAAATTTCCACAGCCAATTTAAAAAGTTTGTGAAGAGAATTCTATTAGTGACCAAATAGTATGTTTTTATGCTATCCAGCTGTTCTACTTCAATGGCCAAAGAGGATGTGTGAGACTAAATCATCATCATTTGTAAAAAGTCCTTGGGGGGACTCACATTCTAGGCCAACTGTCGATATAATCTCTGGTATTGTTACCCAAAACAGAAGAAAGTTATAGATATGAGGATAAAATGGAACATCCTCTGTAATATAAAAGAGACTCTCAATGAAAAATCTGGTCACCTCTAAAAATATAAAACTGCATTAAAAATATTAATAATGGTAAGATTTTGAATGTTTACTATATGTCAGTTACTGGGCTAAGCATGTAACATAGTATTTTCTAGTTTAATTTTTATAGCTTTCCTTCCTCTATACAAAAACACCCTTCCCTTAAGACCAGATATTTATCTGATGACCATGTGCTTCCTAGGAAGCTGACTTTACCCCACAGGTCCAAGAATAGAGCGTGCATTACTTAGATAAGCCAGTTGGTACATTCTAACTACCCATATGGTTCAAGGATGAGATAAGTCAGTCTAGTTAGAATGAACTAAGCTAGGTGAAGCAACATACATCCTAAGTCTCTTGCTGGGTAATCCAGGGCAAAACTACCTTGAATTGGGTCATCTGTCACATGTAACACAAGGAGTTTCAACTATTATTGTAATAGTATCATCTCCATTCTGCAGATGGGGAAGCCGGTGGGGTGGCGGGGTGCAAAAAAGGCTAAATTCCAGTTAAGATTTAAACTCAGACCAGACTATCTATATACTTACTCTTTGCCACTACATTATCCTGTGCTGAGAAAATTGGCCACACTTTTTTTTTTAAAAAAAAAAAAAAAAAAGCAAAGATAACATGTGTTCCTTGTAACAGATATGTTTTTAAAAAGTCAAATGCAATTATTTTCAATGTACTAGGGAAATTCATAACCAAAAGCAGCTTTCAAAATGTCCTCATAAAATAAAAGCCTATCTTTTTATATATAAATTTAATTTGTAGGTATTAGACTTTCTTAAGGTAGGCATGACTTTTTTTTTTTAATAGACTCTAAGTGTTCATTTAAAAATACTCACTGAAGGTGCCAGCCCTGAATCCAGGTATCATTATCTCCAGTTTTCTTATGAGGAAACAGAATTAGAGCGCTTATGCGCTTTTTCCAAGGTAACACAGCTATAAGCTAACAGGTCCAGGACTCACACCACGATTCCACCAAAAGTCTGTGGATCTCAACTACCCATTATACTTTCCCATGCACTATTTTGTGTTGTTATTCCAACATTATAAAATGCTAACATCCAAAAAAGTACCTTTTCAGAATCTACAAAGTGTGTAGCAATTCCCGCTCTGTACACATCTCTTCCTTTTAGTCTGAATCCTGTTAATGCCAGGAAGTAACCAAGTTTTCCTTGAAGTCGTGGCAAGAAATAACCTCCGCCCACATCAGGGAACAGTCCTGTAATTAAACGTAACAAAAAGAGATAATGGTGATTCAAATGAAAAAGACAAATATAATCTCTTTGCTGTAGATCACACAATCATTTCTCTCTGGAGCTTCAATCTATAGTACAAATATTATTAAATTAAGTACTGTGCAGAGCAATCAATATCACAAAAGACTTTCTATAAACTGTGCTAACTTAACTTGGGTATTTTTCAAAACTTTCATGTCTCATTTCTATAGAATACAGTAAAGTATTTGATGACACAATGTTTTGTACATTAGAAGTACCCAATAATGTTACCTAAATTTTCTTTTTTCTTTTTTTTTTTTTTTTTTTTTTTTGAGACAAAGTGTCACTCTGTTTCCAGGCTGGAGTGCAGTGGTGTGATCTCGGCTCACTGCAACCTCTGCCTCCCGAGTTCAGGGGATTCCGCTGCCTCAGCCTCCTGGGTGCTGGGACTACAGGCACACACCACCACGCCTGGCTACTTTTTTGTATTTTAGTAGAGAAGAGGTTTCACCATGTTGGCCAGGATGGTCTCGATCTCCTGACCTCATGATCCTCCCGCCTCAGCCTCCCAAAGTGCTAGGATTACAGGCATGAGCCACTGCAGCTGGCCAATGCTACCTAAATTTTCTTACCACTGATTTACTTTTGAAGAATCTCCAAAATAGGTAAAAACTTCAAAATCTGTATTTCCAAATGAGCACAGGAAGAAAATATATAACCTATGGTCTATTATAGAAAAATTATTATCATTTAAATCATTTCCCAAACTTAGTCAATTATCTAATATTCAAGATGTTTAGCTATTGATGCAATAACCACGAGTACCACTAAATGAAAAATTTGAGACCTAATAAAATCATTTGCATTCAGCCTTTCCTTAACCATCAGTATTTAAAAATTCTCTCTTTACTGGTAACAACTGAAAATAACATATATACAAGTAATTACCAGCATACTCCTTTGGGTGTTTAAGATCTTAAACAACAGTGACCCTCTAATTTTATAATTTATGTATCTGTTCTAAAGTTTAATTTAATTATGTTGGGATAAAAACACAAGCACTGAAATTCTTTCCAGTTCTACTTTACAAAAGGTTTCTAGGCAAAAAAAAAAAAAAAAAAAAAAA